TACTTGGACACCGCCCATTGTCCCATTGCTATCGGCCGTGGTGGCCCGTGTGACGTTCGTGAGGGACTGTTTGGGCGCCCCGGCAGCCCGCTCCCCGCCTGCGTGACCAGGGCCGGTTTGGCAGCGGTTTGGGCTGTGTGTGGGCTGGTCGCGGTAGGGGATATAGTGCTTGTTTATGGTCCCACTCACCACTCCCGGCCAACGGGGCCTCGCGGGGCGTCCTCGTTTGCAGTAAAAGGCCTCTGCCATCGCTCAGAGTCCCAAACCATGTGATCCTCCGCGCCTCCGCGCCCGAGTAGTCTGCCAGATGTGCGACGTCGTCGGGGAGGGCGTCGTCGCGGGCGCCAACGTCGTCATGCGAGCCCCTACGGCTGTCCAAGGGCACGTCTGGGTGACCAGGGGCGGGGGTCGAGCCGTGAGTGCTCCGCCGGGGCGAGCTTCTGGGTCCATGGGACCGCTGCCGGACCCATCCGAGAGCCTCTCCGGACACGTTCGCTCGACGGCCTAGTTGGCGGCCGATGTTCGACGACTAAAGCTCCGGACGCCGCGGCCAAAGGTCCGCCCACGGCCCCAGGGCTCGTGGTGGGTGTGGGGTGTGCCTCACGAGGCGGAGAGGCCGCGTGAACTCCCGTAGAAGCTCGCGAAGTGCGGATTTGGAGCGCCGCGCCGGACCTCCGCCGGGGCCCGCCGGGACGCCGTATGGGCCTCGGGGTGCCCGATGAGCTTAGAGGTGCGGTTTTTTTTGCTTGTGTCTATCGGTTCATGTCATGGACCGGCCCTGGGAAGCCTTTGACCGCGCGCGGAGGGTGTTACGGGGCCGTGATGATTTAGCGGGAGGGAAATCGGCCGATTTGCCCAGTGTGTGGTAGTATGCCTCCATCAGGTTTCCTTCATTTAGTTGCTCGTCGGGTATGAATTTCGTGTCCCATTCGAGTGGGTGTTTGCCGCGGCACCCTAGTCTCCATGCCGTCCTCGCTTAAGGCGGCACTCCCCCTTGGGGCTTGGGCCTTGGGTTGGGGTTTTTCGAGAATGCAAATTGGGCCTGTGAGATCATGGGAATCGAGTCCCTTGCATGGGCTCGAGCATGGAGCATTAAGGTGTGTTCACGAGCAGCACAAAGCCTCTTTTTCGCTGTGATAACACTACCGCCCTGACTCGATGAGTCGCGAGACCAGGAGCAGGACACCGAAGCTGAAAAGCGCTGGCACATGGCCACCAATTCGCCATGGGCCGCGTATGCGCCCCGCCCCCTCCCCCCTTTCACCGATAGCGCCGGCTGTAGAAGCCGGCAAAGAGCTCCTCCTCCGCAGCAAAGCCGCCCCCAAAACCGCCTCCAAAGCCGCCATGCCGGCGGCCGCGCCGCAATCGCTCGGCGTCGTAGCGCGCGCGCGCCGACGCGTCCGAGAGGACGTCGTACGAACGCTGCACCTCAACGAACCGCTTCTGCGCCGCGGCGCGCTCCGTGTCTGAGCCGTTGTTCTTGTCTGGGTGGTGCTGGAGCGCCAACTTGCGGTACGCCCGCTTGAGCTCGGCGGCGCTGGCGCCGGGCTTCATCTCGAGGACCTCATAGTGGCACCGCTCGCGCTCCTTCTCCACCGGCGGCGGCGCGCGGCTTCCCGCGTACCCATAGCCGCCGTGGCCCGGGCGGCCGGCGCCGCCCGCGAAACCGCCGTGCTGCGAACGCGACCCGCCGCTGTAGCCGTGCGAATGCGAGCTGCCGGCAGCGGCGGCGCGAACCTCCGCGCTGCGCTTCGCTGCCTCGGCGCCGACCGTGCCCCGCGGATCGTGCCGCCGCGCAAGACCAAAATCGTCGAGCGCCAATTGCCTACAGCGACGGACCCTCCGCCTGTGGCAAATGGCGGCAAGCAAAGCACCCACCTCTCCGTGTGAGAACAGCGCACCTCTTGCCCACGCGCAGCCGCAACTCGGCGCGGCGGAGGTAGGCCTTGGCGTACGTCGTGTCGAGGACGATCGCCATGTTGCAGTCGGAGAGCGCCTAGGGAAGAGCCCGGCACGACTCTGAGACGCACCCGAGATGCGGTGCGCGCCTCGCGGCGGCGGCGCCTGCTCGAGCAGCGAATCGCGCCTCGCGTTTGCGGCGGCGCGGTTACAATAGAGGAGCGCGTTGAAGCGTCCGTTGTTCGGGTCGAGCTGCAGACCCCGCGTGTAGCCCGCCGCGGCCGCCGCCCACTCACCCCGCTTGAAGGCGGCGTTGCCCGCCTGCCGCTCCACCTCCAGCCGCTGCGCGAGCCGGAGGAGCTGCTTGGCCGCCGCCGGCGTGCCCGGCCGCGCCATCGCCTCGCTCAGTCGCTCCTCCGCCCCAACGAGGTCGCCCGCATCGTACAGCACCCTCCCGAGCGTGTAGCTCCACAGCGCGCCTAGTTCCGCGGCAATGCACGTCAGAGCGAGACGCGCTCCCGCATGCGACATGCCCCGGGAGGCCCTCACCGTGCGACGGCCCCGACGCGTCGGGCTTGCCGATGGCGGCGAGGCAGATGGAGCGCGCCTCGCCAAAATCGCCTCCCGCCGCGAGGAGCTCGGCCCGGAGCGCCTTGAGCGCCTCATTGTGCGCGCAGCGGAGGCACGACGCCTCGAGGCGCGAGGAGAGGTCGCGGAACGCCTGCCGCGACTTGCACTGCGCGCCGGCGCGCCGCAAGGCCGCGAGCTCGGAGCCCACCCGTCCCATCTCCTGCTCCGCCTCGCCGCACATACGCAGCCCGTTGGCGCCATCCGCCGTCGCTCCCGCGCGCGACGCTCGCTCGTAGAGCTCCCGTGCGCGCACATACTCGCCGAGGGACATGAACACATGCGCCGCACGGAGCAGCGACTTGGGCAGCGCGGCGTCGAGGCGCAGCGCGGCGTCGCACTCGCGCAGCGCCTCGGAGAGCCTGCCAAGCTGCGTGAGCGCAGCTGCGCAGTTTGCGTGGTAGCTGGAGGCGCGGGAGCGCACCGCAGCAGCGCCGGCCGCCGTGGCCGCCGGGGCGACTAGGTCGCGGCCTCCGCCCGTGGCGGCTTCGCAGAGCGGATGTGCGCCGAGGGCACCGAGGGCGCGCTGGTAGTACTGGAGGGCGGCGGCATAGTCCTTGGCCTCGTACTTTCCATTGCCGCGTCCCTTGAGCTCCTCCGCTGCTGACCATGCGGGCGACCTCGCAGCCTCCTGCTCGCCGCTCCGCTCGGAAGCCACCTGCGGCGCCCCCTCCCGGTCGGCTGCGCCGAGCGAGCTGGAGCGCTCCAAGCTCGGCGGCGCGGCGGTGGATGTGGGCGGCGCGGCAGCGGGCGGCACCGGCACCGGCGGCACGGGCGGCACGGTGGCCTTGTGCGGCGAGAAGGACGAGCGCCGGCGAGCGTGCCGCTGCCGGCGGGGCGGGGATGGGCCGCTCTCCGCGGGCGCCGCGCCCATCGCGAAGCTGGCGTCGCCTCCGTCCCCGCTGCCGCCGCCAGCGGGCGCTGACGCGGCGGGCATAGCCGGTGGCACGGCAGGTGGTTCGGCCGGCACGGCCGGCGGCGGAGCTTTGAAGAGGGGCGGGGCTGTCCCCGCGGCAACGAAATCGGCAAACGGGTTGTCTGGTCGGCCGGGGGCGGGTGCGAACGGCTTCGGATCGAAGAACCGCTGCGGTATGCGCTCTGGCTGCTGCCTCGCCTGCTCCGGCTGCTGCCGCCGGTGCACCTGCTCTGGCTGCGGCTGCGGCGGCAGCCCAACCCCGGCGCCTTCAGCCGCGCCAAAGGCAGGCGGGTGAGGCTGCGAGGGCTCTGGCATGGGCGGCACGCCGATGAGGAGCGACTCGAACTCCGCGATTGTGGCCGACGTGACCGCCCGCAGGCCCGCGGAAACGGACCAGTTCCGCCAGCGCTTGGCAAACTCGGCGGCCGAGAGGCGCGCGCCGTTGCACACCTTGTGCAGCCGCTCCACGAGGTGCGGATCCTGCGTCAAGGCGACAAGAGGGACGGGACCGTGAAGACTGTGTGCTACTGCCTGCGACCTCGACGTGCGCATGCATGTAAGTGCCATTCAAGCATCGTGCTCAAGCGCAAGGCACTCTAGCGAATGCCGACAGGCTGGGGGAGAAAGGGGAAGAGGTGGATTATGGCGTGCGAGTGGAGTGTAAGTGGAATTGTCAGATGTGGTCCAGCATCTAGGCTTCGGGTCCTCGACAGAGTCGAATTCGAGCGCAATCTCGCGCATGCTCGCAGTGGGGCGCGGGGGCGCGGCGCGCTGGTACGGAGGCGCGGCGCGGCCGTCGAGGCTCAGCCCGCCCAAGCCCTTTGCGAGGTTGGCGCCGGCACCGGCAGCAAAAGCCTCCCGGTGGCCCCTCTGCGCGGCGCCGCCCTGCTGGCGCAGCTTGGAGGAGGCGCGGCTCTTGGCGCTGCCCGCCTTGCGGCCCGCGGGCGACGCCTCCGCCGCACCCGCAGAGCCGATAGTGAAGCCGCCCGAGCAGCCGCCGCCACCCTGCGGCGTGTGGGGCTGCGAGGGCTCGTCGTGCGGAGGCCGCCACTCGCCGCCCGCCGCTCCGGCATGGCGGACCTGTGGTGCCGCCGCACCCCCCTCGTGCGCACCCGCCCCGCTCGCCGCCGGGTCTGAGCCACCGAATGGCTGCGCCGGCCCCGGCCCCGGCCCCGGTGGGGCGGCTGCCGGGCCGGACATGAACCCCGGCGCGGCGGCGGCGGAGGACGAGGATGGTGTGGTGGGAGCTCCGCGAAGCACGCGTGAGCGGTGGCGTTGCGCGCGGCGGCCTGACGAGCCGGAGCCAGGGGCCGGCCCCTCCGCTCCCAACGTGAAGAGCATATTGTCTGCCGACCCGGCGCTGGCGGACCCTTCGGAGGGGGTCGCGAAGGCCTCGGACGAGAAGGGCGAGGGCGTGACTGAGACCCGCGCCGTGCCGTGCGACGAGGGGGTCGGAGGAGAGGGCACGGGAGTCGACAGCTGCGGCGTCTGCAACTCCACCGCTGGCGGAGGGCCCCCCACAGACATGGGAACAGCCTCGCCTTCCGAGGTGGGCGTCATGCTGCCGCCGCCACTCCCCTCCTCGCGCGCGACGCGACCTGCTGCGCCTCCGCCTGGCGCCGGTGTGCCCCACGCAGGAGTGGGCGGCAAGGGCGGCGGCGGTGGCACGACCGACATGGGCAGGTGGCGGGCCGGCGGAGGCGGCGTGGAGGCCGCGGCCGCGGCTGCGGCCGCACCCGCCGCGAAGGACGTGGGAGCGCCGGGTGCCCCCCGAATTTTGGCATACATCGCTCGCTGCTCCGGGTTCAGCGTCTCCCACAACTGCGCCTCATCAGGCGACGATGCCGCCGGCGGCTTGGAGGGGCTGCGTCTGGCTCGCCGCCGCTGCTTTGGGGTGTCGGCGTTGGCGCCGATCGAAAACGAGACGTTCTCGGTCGCGAGCGGGTTGAGGACAGCCTCGGGGGCGAGGACCCCAGTACTCATGGCGCTCAAAGGATCCCTCAAAGGGCGGCGGATTTTTTCTTTTTTTTTGCTAGCCTTGTTAAAGGAAACAAGAAGGGCCCACGCACAGACACAGACTCAAACGATGGGGCCCGCTCAAACGATTTCTTCTTTTTTTCGACTAGTCGTTAAAAGGAGACAAGAAGGGACACAGACACGACACGCCTTTCACGCACATACACACCGCACCGCACCGCACCCCCCCCCCCCCCACCACCGCCCCGCCTAGGTGGGAAAGAGACGAGGAGATGGAGCAGCCCGAAGGAGAAAGAAGCCTCAAACACGTACGCATGTGTTTGTTGTATGGGAGGTTTAAGGTGGCGGCGTCACACTGCCCGGCTTCCCGGGACAGCCCCGCCCTTTCGAGGCAGGAAGGTGAATGACTGACCCCATACGCCCTGATATCTAATTGACGGGACGAGTCGAGGCGACGGCGGAGGCCGTGCTGAGAGCGCCGAGCGGGGCTGCGTGCCCGCGAGGCTCGGCGCTGCCTGCGAGGCAGCGCTAGGAGGGAGCGTGGGTGGCGGCCGGCGAGGGCGCCCGCTCGACGCCACACACGACGACGCGCGAGCGGCGTGTCGGCGGGCGAATCGTGAGCACTTTGACCTTTTCGAGCCGGACCCCACCCCCATGGAGGATCTCTGAGGTCCTCCCCAGTCTCACCCCACCTTATCTCTGCCCCCCCCTCCCCCCATCCCTCTGCCTCCCATAGGGCAGGATAGCACTAGCATATGAAGTGCCAAAAAGTACTATTTGCGGCTATCGCTCAAAACCTCATCACGACACGTCCAGGTGCCGACAAAGCGGCTTCCCAGCTCACCACCTCGCCTTATCTGTCGCTCTCCTGGCCCAGGCCCATCAGTATCAAGCCTGAGCCGTCCCAAACCGCACTTATCTTGGGTGATGAAGCTCACTCTGGCTCATACCACGGCTCTGCAGCCTCACACACGCCCGTTTCAGCCACAGACACCGCCGGCACGCACTCCCACTTCACACATGCTCAAACACAACCCCACCAAAGCACAGCCCTGCTCAGAATTGGCAAGGGCTATCACTTGGTGACCCAGGCAGCCTTTGGCTCGCCACTGCACTCGGCTCCTCTCAATGCGTGTCGGGCACCCCCCACGACAGCACGCCGACGGCAAGCTTTGACGCCCGTCTGGTGGACCTGCTGTCGCCACGGCCGCCCCTCACATGCAGCTCAGGGCAGCAGCGGGGCGTGAGAGGCCGTGCGAGCTTGCGCTAGCGCAAGCGCTAGCGCTTTGGGCGATTCGATTAGGCGGCCTACCTAGGCCTTTAACATACACTAGCTGAGGGGCTCGCTAAACGCTCGCCGAGCTCCATGCTGTGCAACACCACCTCCTCACTAATCGTCAGGGGCGCGGAAAGCCCAGTGCACTGCGGTGAGGCTGCGCAGCGGGGGCTCGCCCCTGCACCGCGCTCAGCGGCGTAGGGGAGGGCGGTCGGTGGCGGCGGCGGCGAGGCGCGAGGCGGTGGCGGCGGTGGTGCGGGCGGCGGGATGACAGGGGAGGCGGCGGGATTGACAGGGGACGCGGCGGCCACGAGCGGAGCGGCGCGAGAAGGGGGGGGGGGCGGCGGCCAAGCACCCGCAAACGAGGCCCCCCCACCATCAAAGGGACGCTCCGCTTCCAAAATGTAAGCCGGCTCGTAACCTAAGCCAGGCTCCAAAGGCGGCCGAACTCGGTGGACCGCAGATCTCCACCTACTGGCGCTGAAAGCTAACCCTCTTGGATCGTATCGCTACTTTCCCTAGGCCAGCGT